ACACTCACACTCACACTCACACTCACACTCACACTCACACACTCACACACACACACACACACACACACACACACACACACACACCAAGACAAATAAATACAAATAAGAATGGCAGAAAAGGTAAACATGAACTCGTTCCAACTTTTTTATCACAACCATATCAGCAACATAATTTTATTGCAAAAAGAAAAGTTTTGTACGTTTATATGGCATGGTAACAAAAGTACACAAACACATTTATCACAGACTGACAAGAAACAATTAAAAGTTGTCATCAACCAATTATCCAGATTTGTAAATAAAATACACCTAAATTATTTATTGTCTTTTTATTAAATCAGTATAGGTGAAATGGTGAGATTGTATAGGTTTAATGCCCCTATCAACACTGTTAGGTTATTCTAAGAGGCGGGATCTCCGAGCTTAACGTCAATCTCAGAAAGGCCGGAGCCAACAAATAGGATATTCGTGTAAAATGCCTCTCCCAAGGACACAACGTCGGACAGAGCTGAGGTTCAAACCCCCGAACAAAATGTCAGGGGTCCCGTGTGCGAGTTGCCCTCTTTAAAAATCTCTTGGTGGTCTAAAATTTATAAGAGTAGTGTTCGGTCGCCACCCGGGCAAAATTCAAAATTTCCTTCCAATTGAAAAGTTTGGTGTGTCCCGCGCGCTCGTATGACCTTATGCAATTGCGAGCGCTGTAAAACACTTCTTAAGAATAAGAATAAGAAACCCCCGAACCTGCTATCTCACGATGATGAGCCGGTAGATTAATAATTAGGCTACCATTAGTATAAGGAAAGGGGGAAGGAAGGATTGTTGGTAGAAACCCCCGAACCTGCTATCTCACGATGATGAGCCGGTAGATTAATAATTAGGCTACCATTAGTATAAGGAAAGGGGGAAGGAAGGATTGTTGGTAGAAACCCCCGAACCTGCTATCTCACGATGATGAGCCGGTAGATTAATAATTAGGCTACCATTAGTATAAGGAAAGGGGGAAGGAAGGATTGTTGGTGGTTTTGTTTTAGTAAGGTTTTACGGCTTGCAACTGCATATAGATCTAGTCATATGAGCGCCAAGGGGTGGGTGTCTACAGAGAAGTCTAAACGGGGAATTACGCTTACTCTGCTTACCTCTCTAGCCTCAACAGCACAAAGTCAGTTTCTACTATCAAGTCACCCTAGAAATAGCAGTTCACAAGAGAGTGACAAACATACAAAAGAAGTAGAGGTAAAATGACGATAATTATGATGAGGAAAGAAGATGCAAAAGTTCCCGCTATGTTGTTCCGGCACTATATGAACATGACATTGATAAATCAGCCCATTAACAATTCTACTGTGCATAAGAACATGTCAATATCCCCCCTTTGGGAATGGCGCAAAGACACTCCAGTCAGTAGCACTGCCCTGGTTGGAGGGAAGGGAGCGGTTGTTGGCGAGTAGCTGGAGGGCATCTCCGATAGCTCGTCCTTCTTTTCTTTCACCCAGTTGTTTGCACCTTTCGGACTTACCGCGGGCAGTTGGAGGGCGCCACCGGTCGGTCCTACTTTTTTTCTTTTTCACTCAGCTGTTTGTGTCTTTCAGACTAATTACTCTTTCCGAAAAACCATAATGGCTCTTGGGATACTGGTATACTTCTTCTGTGGTAGATATAATAGTATAGATTGTGGAACGCATAGAGCTTGCTGTTGAGCGGGGATTTGTGCTATACAAATGCTATCTATTATTATTATTGATATTGTTGGCCCTTATACATGTTGCCCATAGCAACATCCTTCGGCGTCCTGTGGCTGTCGACAACACTTCCAGGCGTAGAGCACCCTCAGCAGCCGGCCGCAGTGGTCGTAGTGCTCCAGCCTCTCCTTGCCCTTGAGGTGGTAGCAGCAGGCCAGCTTGTGGTTGTCCACCGAGCTGAACAACTTCTGACAGCGCAGACACTTGGCCACCATCCCGCCGCCAGTGGGCCGGAACCGGGAGATGACGCGGGCTTTTCTTTTTGAGGTAGAAGTGGAAGAGGACGCCCATTTCTCCCCACCGCCCCCGCCGTTGTTACTTCCCGCGATAGATTTTCCTTTACGACGTGGCGTGTCGCTCAGCTCGTCGTCTCGGAAGTTGTCCTCTGAGAAGTAGTTTTCCTCTCCGGATGTGTAGTCCACGGTTTGGCTAATTCTGGAGACGGGCGTGACCCCCAGCGGCGTGATGCCGTTGAGTCTGTCCCCGAGGTTTCTCATGTTGGTGGACGGGATGGGTGTGTTGTAGGGCACGTCGTGGGGGGCAGGGGTTCGATGCGACAAGCTGCCATCGGAGGGCGCCTGCACGACGGATTTCCCCTCGAGAAAGCTGGTGTGTTCTGACTCTAAAGTGATGGATGGCGGGTGTTCTGACTGACACCGACGCTCGGATATGAACCCTGGACGTCTGATGACGGTCAGTTTGGGGATCCTCGCGGATTCTGGGGCCACTCCGTTGACCTCCAGCGAGGCTTTCTTCCAGTAGTGGTGGTGATGTCGCGGCATGTAGGAGCGGGACGGCTTGACCAGGATGGACGTGATGGTGGACCCAGATGTTGTGCTATGCATGGACGCGCTGTCGTCGTGAGGGGTCACCTTGTTCAGTTTCTCCATGCTGGTGATGGCGTCGTGCAGAGAATCCTCCAGTTTCCGCGCCCGTTGTTTCAGCGTCTTTAGTTTCTCCTCCGAGATCTCGATCAGTGACGGCTCTCTCGTCGGCCTCATACCGCTGTCGACCTCCGCTGTCAGGTTGATGTTCTGTTTCTCGGTAATGTTCCCCACCGGGGTTTCGTTCGTAGATTTCCCAGACTGCTTCACTTCCTGCTCTGCGGGAACACTTCTCAGGATCTGTTTTGACTCCAGTCTCAGTCCAGCCTCGTCCATGTCTCCGACAGGAATCTTCAGACCGACACCGTTCGTCAACGGGCCCTTGTTGTTGCTGTTCTTATCGTCAAACGCCGCTGGACTTTTCCTCGTCTTGTGCCCGTTCTTGTGGAGGGTTTTGAGACTGAGAAAGTCGTCGGTGCCCACACACTTGTGCACTTTGCTGTTCATGTTGTCCTTCAGCATGTTCTCCACTTTATCCAGCTGTCTTTGTAAGTTCAAAGCATCGTTGTTCTTCTCTTTCAGAGTGTTCTGTAAAACGGTCATCTCGTTTTGTAGATTTTTGTTCTCCGCTTCTAACATTCCAAGCCTTCTCTCGATTTCTTTTCTCTTGTTGTGTCCGCTGTAGTGCCTGTCTTTAACAAAGCCGGACACAGCTTCCACTAGACTGGCCACGGCGTTGGGTTTAACCCCGACCAGCCTCAGACACTCGGTGCGGTCGTTGACGAGAGTGTCACAGATGTCGGTGAGAACCTCGATGTTGTCTCTCAGCACTTGCTTCCAGTCCGTCTCCTCCTCGTCGTAACCCACCACGACATCGTCAGTCTCGTCCCCACCGTCAGCGTAGAGCGCCTTGAACTCCTCTTCGTTATACTCGAAAGGGTGGTTCCCCTTTTTCTTGAGTTTCCCCACATGCACGCCGCCGCCATGCCTCCAGTTTGGTGGTGCGTTCTGCTGAATTTTAACGTTTGGCTTCGGTTTCTTCCCGTTTCCACTCGTCGTCGCGTCGTCTTTGGTCTCTGCCTCAGACTCACTAGCCCTGACGCTCGCCTCCGCCTCGGGGTTTTTGGCGACTCGTGACGTGTCCACAACACTGACCACGTTGAAGGAAGACTGGGTCAGTCCCTTATTACCTGCCATAGCAGCAATTGACCGCTCGTTGAGACGACTCATCGCCATCAGGCGGTTCTGGAAGTTGGACTTCCTGTTTTGATACGCCGTGGCCATCGTTTTGTCGTCCATGTCCACGCTGAAGGGATACAACCCCGTGGATGATTTGGCGTCTTTGGCGTCTCTTCCATTGATGTTGGGTATACTGTGAGCGTTGCTAGACACCCCTGAAGAGGAAGACGCGACGCTTTTTGTCGTAGACGCGCCTTGTCGCCGCTGAGAGATACTCCGTATTGATTTAGTACCACGTCTATGGTGGTGGTGGTGGTGGCCTTTGGTAGGCAAACCGAACATGGTGTTGCTGGCGGACTGGACGAGATGTCTGAGCCGTGCGGCCGAGTGAACCACCAAGTCGGAAATGTCTATGGAATCTTTGCGGTGCTGCTCGGCCTGCACCAACGCTTGTCTCAGTCTCACGGCCCAGGCGTTGCGCTCTGACTGGATGTGGGTGGACAGCCAGGAGTAGAACAAGGCATAGTTCTCTCTAAGGACTCTGGGGAATACAGACAACATGAAGTTCGGTTACTGGATGTGGGTTTTCTTTTTAGTTTTAGTAGAGGTTTTACGGCGCTCGCAACTGCATAAGGTCATATGAGCGCCAAGGGGTGAATGTGAACAGAAGTCCTTACAAGGATTCAGACTTACTCTTCTCACCTCTCTAGCTTCAACAGCTCAAAATCTGCTTCGACTATCTAGGCACCCCGGAAATAGTGGGTCACAAGAGAGTGACAAACATACAAAAGAAGTAGAGGAAAATTGACGATAGTAAGGATTAAGAAAGAAAAAGCAGCAGGTCCCTGTTACAATCCCGGCACAGTTATGAGCATGACATCGATGAATCAGCCACAATGTTACTGTGCAACAAAAGATGGTAATGTACCCCCCCCCCCTTGGGAATGGGCCTAAAGACAGTTCTGTCAGTAGCACCGCCCCGGGAGTTAGATGTGGTTTTCATTTAGCAGGTGTTTCACGGCACTGTCGACTCAGTTTTGGTCATGTAGGTGCCAGTGGATGTGGATGGACTCTGGAACTACAGATAGAAAAGAAGTTTGGAAGTTGGTTGTCGGCTGGTGCTCTGGTGTGTTTGCTTTTTCTTTCCTATCACACGTCTATCGTCTTTATCTCTCCTCCTTTATTTTTTGTGTTTGTTATTCTCTTGTAATACATCTACTCTTTGGCACTTTTATGACCGTATTTTGTTGCAGGGAGCCGTAAAACTCTTTTACTAAAACTTAAAAAAAGAGGTTTGGTTGTATAAAAAGTTATGGTATGTGTTTAACCCCCCTTTCAACACCATTGGGTTATTTAAGAGGTGAGATCTCCATTTGTTTAGGTTTTTTTGTTGTTGTTTTTTGTTTTATTTTGGGGGGTTTTAACATCGAATGCCCTGGCAACAGCAGAGACACGTGGGGAGAGAGAGAGAGAGAGAGAGAGAGAGAGAGAGAGAGAGAGAGAGAGAGAGAGAGAGAGAGAGAGAGAGAGAGAGAAGAAGAGAGGGAGAAAAGGTGAGAGGGAGAAAAGGAGAGAGGGGAGGGAGAGAGAGTGTGTGTGTGAGGGAGAGAGAGAGAGGGGGGAGAGAGAGGGAGAGGGAGAGAGAGAGAGAGAGAGAGAGAGAGAGAGAGAGAGAGAGAGAGAGAGAGAGAGACTGGTTTGCTTCTTCTATCATATCAAGCATCTGTCGTTTTTATCTCCCCTCTATCTTTTTGTGTTTGTTACTCTCTTGTAACACCTCTAATCTTCAGCACTTTTATGACCTTATTGTTCTGCAAGTGCCGTAAAACACTTACTAAAACAAGATGTGACATCTGACCTCTCACCTGGCAATGATAAAGTTTCCGACGATGTTGTTCTTGAGGAACTCATCCACCACCGCCTTGATGTCTGGGTCTATGGTGAGCGACATGAGCTCCCGTGTGGTGACCCGCGGGCGCACGAACAGCCTCCTCACTGTCGGGTCAGCCTTGTCCAGACCCTTCAGACGGCTCAGGTCTGTCAGACCGATACCCTGGCAGGGTGAAACAACGGCGGGACAACCAGTAAGTTGGGCATAGTGGAGAGAAAAGGGGAGTGGGTGGGGGGGGGGGGAGAAAGAGAGGAAGGCTGAGATCCGCCTCGAAGCGAGATCTCTACAACGATCTTATGAGGATCATGGTGATGTCATATTAAGGCAGTGTTAGAAATTTTGGGGGGAAACTGGTCGCTTCTTATTCTTAATTATATTGAAGAGTTAATTGATTTAGAGTGCGGTCAAAAATTCGGGGCGCAACTTATTCTCAAATATCTCTTTAACGGGTGAATCAATGTCATCCGTACTTTGGGAAACAGTTTGTATCAATTTGTCTTAACTAAATCAATTTTTTCCAGAACAATTGGGGCTAGATTAAAAAACTTTTCTTCTTAAATTTATATAAAATACGGGAAATCTCTGTCACACGTAAAATGGTATTGTTCACAGCACTTCCCGCTTCTCACACACATTTTGATTACGCATATAGCCTACGTCACAGCTCATCAAGGACAATTTTTAGTGGAAAAAAGGTGTTACAAGAAATTAATTTTATAGTGAACACATTTTTTTCACTAATGGCTCTCAAAACATGCATTCAATAAGCATAATGTCCCGATTAGAAAAGCATGACGGACTTGCTATTAAAAGCAATATTGCCCCAGGTGCAAACATTGAAAAATCTGTAGAAACCACCCACTTGGATATTTTATTCGTATTTATTTAGGAATTTTCTATAATACAGCTTGCAGGTGTTTACAAAAATGTTGATCTGTTAAGACAAATTGATACAAGTCACTGTACCAAATATGGAGAACATATGTTCGATAGTTGAGGAGATATTTGACAATAAGTTCCGCCACGAATTTTTTACCGCACTATAATGTGTACTAACACAGCTTTGACGTGTTTGTATTATCTATGGTAAGTCTTTGGCTTGGAGCCATTTATGATGAGGTACATGCATGCTCTGAATGTAGATTAATAAAAATCGCAGGAGTGTGCGTATGTGCGTGTGTGTGTGTGTATGTGTGCGTGTGTGTGTGTATGTGTGTGTGTGTGTGAATGCGTGTGTGTGTGTGTGTGTGTGTGTTTGTGTGTGTGTATGAGAGAGAGAGAGAGAGTGTGTGTTTGTTTTTTGTTTAGTATAGGGTTTTACGGCGCTCGCAACTGCATAAGGTCATATGAGCGCGCGGGACACACCTAATACTTTTTCGTTGGTAGGAAATTTTGAATTTTTCCCGGGTGGCGGCCGAAGCCTACTCTTATCGATTTTAGACCACCAAGGGATCTTTAACGTGCGCAACTTGCACACGGGACCTCCGAGATTTTTCGCCCTTGTCCGAGAAGGCTAGGTGTAGATCTTTCCTACCAGAAGATCAGGGGTGTGGCAGAAAGACAGCCGTTAGGAGGAGCCAAGGAGTAGCAGTAGAAAGGCTGCAGAAAGAGTCAGGAGCCCAGAGGAGGGGGCAAAGGAGGTGAGGGGGTGGGGGGTGGGGGCAGAAAATGGAAATGAAAGCAGACAACAGAACATTGTTAGAGATCAGGAAAGGATGTGAAAGGGGACAATTTTAGAGAAGAAAATTTTTTGGTCGCTACCCGGAATCGAACCCGGGACCTTTGAATGAGAGGCCAACACCTAAACCTCTGTGTATGTGAGAGATAGAGAGAGACAGACAGACAGACAGACAGACAGAGAGAGACAGACTGACAGACAGACAGACAGAGTGAACGGGGAGCGAGAGAATAATAAAAGATATATAGACTGATATACGCAACGATTGGGTGGGAAGGGGATAGGAGGAGGGAGAGAGAGAGACAGAGAAAGAGAGAGTTGAAGATAGAGAGATTTAGAAAAGTGGGGGAGGAGGGAGAGACGTACATATATTGATAAACAGTTAGTCCGACAGACAGACACACAGATGCAAAAACAACAAGATTACGACACACAACAACAAATTGACATACGCCGCCGTGTCTGACCTGTATACTGTCCATCAGCCCCGTCTGTTTAGACACGTCACCATCCTCCATCTTGTCGGCCAGGACAGCCGTTCCTAGCGCGGGAAAGTTCTCCGGAGCAGGCGGCACTGTGGTGTTGGAACCGTCGCTGCTGCTGTTGTTGGACAGACAGGACGGTTCTGTGTCAATGGCGCTCGAGTCCTGTTGTGCTATCACCGCGGGTTCGGAATCGCTGGAAGGGTCGGTTCCGTGTGGATTCGATTCGTTGGTAGCTGGGTTTTCGTTTTCAGTTTCGATGGTTGATTGAACGATGGCGTTTGATTGATTAACTTCTGTGTCGGTTTCGGATGTGTTGAAATTCTCTGCTGGTGTAATATTCGACTCTTTTTGAGCGTTTTCAACCGTTTTGGTGTGTTCAGCGGAGTATTTGTTATCCGATTCTGAAGTGGGTTCGCGATGTCGTATCGTTGCCGCTTCGGGGATTTGGTCCGAGTCGACTGCACTAAAGTCGTCCGGCGAATCCATTTCCGAATCGGAATCGGATCTTTGTCCGAATATTTCATCGTGAGCGTCATCCTCATCGCCTATGTGTGCGTCATCGACGTCTTCGTCATCATCGTTATTATTGTCGTTTTCGTTGTTATCGTCGTTTTCGTTATCCATGTACTTCCCACAGTCTGCTGTATCTCCATCTAGTGCCTGGTCGACTGTGTGGTTATAAATGTTGTTGTTGCTGTTGCTGCTGTCTGTGACGATGCTGTCCATGATGAGAGGTGGCGCTGTGATGTCAAGGTCAAGGGGCGGGACGAGGGGCGGTGCTACGTCCACCTCTGTAGTCATGGTGACGTCACAGCTTGTCAACCCGGTGTTGTTCTCACTGCTTCACTCGCCCGTACTGCTCCTGTTGTAGATGAAATATTATAACACTATTATATTGAGAAAGAGAAACAGAGTGTGTGAGAGAGAGAGAAAGAGATTGTGAAAGAGGAAGAGAGAGAGAGAGAAAGAGAGAGAGAGAGAGAGAGAGAGAGAGAGAGAGAGAGAGAAAGAGGAAGAGAGAGAGAGAGAAGGAAAGAAAGATATTGAGAAAGAGGAAGATTGAGATAAAGAGAGGGGGCGAAGAAAGAGAGAGAAAGAACGAGGAAGAAAGAGAGAG